TCTGTCGATGGTTCTTTGGCGTTTGCTAATGACAGACCTGCAGGGGGCGCCACGCGTGACACAGGGTCTGCAGGTGTTTTAATTAGACTTTATGCTGATTCAAGATGGCGCCTCGTACGGTCGACATGGCTCTTTGCTGCTCTCTTTTTCTTTTGTTTTTACTTTTTAACTGTGCATCTGGCTGTTCCTACACCCGTGAGGAACTTATGAACATCCGACCCACCGTTCCCATGGACCTATTGCCTGTTTTCTTGGCATCTGCGGCTGATTTAGTTCATGTTCTAGCCAAAAAAGTGTGGGCCCGTAAAAGGGGAAAGCGAGGAGGCTGCTCGTGCGTCTGAGGAGGAGAGGAGCCTCTCCCCGGCATTTTTCTCTCCAACGTACGCTCACTGGGCAATAAGATGGACGAACTCAGCCTGCTCATGAGAAGAAACAAGGACTTCGCCACATCCTGTGTCCTCTGCTTCACTGAGACCTGGCTAAATGAGCGGATCCCGGACTGCGCTCTGGAGCTGCAGGGCTTTGGGCTGTTTCGCGCGGATCGCCATTGTGCGCTCTCAGGGAAGAGCAGAGGCGGAGGGCTCTGTTTCTACGTCAATACAAACTGGTGTAACGATGTGACAGTGATCTCCAAGCACTGCTCTCCTGCTCTGGAATATCTTTTCATTCATTGTAAACCATATTACTCCCCGCGGGAAATTGTTTCATTCATTCTTGCCTCTGTTTACATACCGCCATGCGCGGACGCAGAGCAAGTACTGTGTATGGAACGCTTATACCCGGACTCTCTGATTATTATCCTGGGGGATTTTAATAAGGGAAACTTGAGCCAGGAATTACCCAAATACAGACAGTTTATCAAATTCCCGACCAGAGAGGAGAACACTTTGGATCACTGTTACACCACCGTGCGCGGAGCTTTTCGCGCTGTTCCCAAGCCAGCCCTCGGCTTCTCAGATCACTCCATGATACATCTGGTTCCTGCTTACAGACAGAGACTAAAGCTCTCGAAACCTGCAGTGAGGAGCTCCAAAGTGTGGTCTGATGAAGCTGTGGAAGAGCTGCGCGCATGCATGGAATCTACAGACTGGGACCTTTTCAGAGCTGCCACAGACAGTTTGGATGAATATACGGACACTGTAACGTCATACATCCACTTCTGTGAGGATAGCATCATTCCAACAAGGACCAGGGTCATCTATAAAGGGGCGTTCACACCGGACTTAACTTCGGCGTCAAAAGCGTCAGGTTTGCATTGAAAGTGAATGGTGAAGCGCGTCAGGTGAAGCCGAGAGCCCCGGCGTCACTTGACGCGCGTCAAAAGCTTCAAGAGTCGCGCGTACTACGCGCTCACTTGAAGCTTTTGACGCGCGAAACGCTCGCGTATCAAAACAATCCCTTTGACGCCGAAGTTGAGCAAAGCTGAGCTTTTGAAGCTTTGACGCGGGCTTCAACCAATCAGGAGACGAGGAGCAGCAGCAGCAGAGGGTCTGTCTCTGTCATGGAGAGAAGTCATGCTGCTGCTGCTGCTGTTTTTTTGTTATTAGTAATATTATTTGTATGAGTAGTAAAATTCTGAGTAACAAAAATCATTGTACACATGCTGTGTAGTAAACGTAGTTTATTTAATATAAGAACAGGCTGACGATGGGTCTGGCTCAGAGCAAGGCAGCTCCGGGCGGACGAGAGCCGGCGAGAGGCGAGCGAGAGCCGGGGAGAGGCAGGGAGAGGCGAGCCAGAGCCGGGGAGAGGCAGGGAGAGGCGAACGAGAGCCGGGGAGAGGCGAGCGAGAGCCGCGGAGAGGCAGGGAGTGGCGAGCGAGAGCCGGGGAGAGGCAGGGAGAGGCGAGCTCCGGGGTTTGAGAACTCAGACTGGGCAAGTGACATGCGGAAGTACCGCTGAAAGCGAAACTCCTCCGTACGCAGCTCCTGGAGTAAATGACAGAACTCTGCAAACACTGCAGCCTCTCAAGTCTGTGGTGAACCCAGAACATGTTTTGTTGAAGCCCTACAACAACGTTATTTTGCTTTATATAACAAATAAAGGCTCGCTGCTCATTGAAAAATCCACCGCTGTCCTGACTACAGGCAACAGAGAAGCTCCTCCCACCGGCGTCAGGCGCGTCACTCGCGTCAAAAGCTTCAAGCACCAAAATGACAAAACTATCCCGGCGTCAGTTGAAGCGCGTCAAAAGCTTTTTGAAGCTTTTGGTCTGAACGCGCCTTAACAACGACAAACCCTGGTTCACTGCTAAACTCCGGCAGCTCAGGAAAGCAAAGGAGTCTGCTTTCAGGGAGGGGGACCGCAGCGGCTACAAAGCAGCTAAATATCAGTTCAGGAAAGAACTGAAAGCAGCCAAGTCCCGGCACAGAGAACGACTACAGGAGCAGTTTGGTAACAACGATACTGCTTCTGTCTGGAGGGGCCTACGGGAGATCACCAACTACAAACCCAAAGCCCCCCCCTGTGCTGATGACCACAAGCTAGCTGACGATCTGAACTTATTTTTCAGTCGCTTTGATGCTGCCCCTGACACCTCTCCCTCCCCCACCCCCCACTACTCTAACGACCCACCCATCAGCCCTGCCCCTAGCCTAACAATAGCCGCTAAAGAGATTAAACAACTCTTCCTGAGGCTGCACCCCCGCAAAGCTCCTGGCCCGGACCACGTGTCTCCGGCCACTCTGAGACACTGCGCCAGTGAGCTTACTCCTGTGTTCACGGACATTTTCAACACCTCTCTGCAGTCCTGCCATGTCCCGGCCTGCTTCAAATCCTCCATCATTGTCCCCGTCCCGAAGAAGCCCAGGATCACAGGACTCAATGACTACAGACCTGTAGCACTTACGTCTGTCGTCATGAAGTCATTTGAACGCCTGGTTCTCTCCCATCTCAAGTCCCTCACCTCCCCCCTCCTGGACCCCCTGCAGTTCGCCTACAGAGCCAACAGATCTGTAGACGACGCCATTAACCTGGCCCTCCACCACATCCTACAGCACCTGGACTCCCCGGGGACCTACGCCAGGGTCCTGTTCGTGGACTTCAGCTCTGCCTTCAACACAATCCTGCCATCCCTGCTCCAGGACAAGCTCTCCCAGCTCAACGTGCCCGATTCCACCTGCAGGTGGATCACTGACTTCCTGACGGACAGGAAGCAGCGAGTGCGTCTGGGGAAGAATGTCTCGGACTCTCGGATTATAAATACAGGAGCCCCACAGGGCTGTGTTCTTTCTCCCCTGCTCTTCTCCCTGTACACCAACCACTGCACCTCCAGCCACGACTCCGTGAAGCTGATCAAGTTCGCGGACGACACCACCCTCATTGGACTCATCTCCAACAACGATGAGTCCGCCTACAGGAGGGAGGTGGACCGGCTGGTGTCCTGGTGCAGTGGTAACAACCTGGAGCTGAACGCCCAGAAGACAGTGGAGATGATTGTGGACTTCAGGAAGAGCACTGTCCCCCCGCCCCCACCCTCCGTGATGGACTCCCCCATCACCTCTGTGGAGTCCTTCCGTTTCCTGGGCACCACCATCACCCAGGACCTCAAGTGGGAGCCGACCATCAGCTCCCTCATCAAGAAGGCCCAGCAGAGGATGTACTTCCTGCGGCAGCTCAGGAAAGCCAAGCTGCCTGCACAGATGTTGGTGCAGTTCTACACGGCCATCATCGAGTCCATCCTCACCTCCTCCATCACCGTGTGGTTCGCTGGAGCCACAGTCAGGGACAAACAGAGACTACAGCGCATTGTGCGCTCTGCAGAGGAAGTGATCGGCCGCAGCCTTCCATCGCTGCAGGACCTGTACGTCGCCCGAGCTCGAGGCCGGGCTGGTCGTATCACAGCCGACCCCTCTCACCCTGCACATGGACTATTCCAACCACTCCCCTCAGGCAGGAGGCTGCGGTCCATCAGGACTAGAACCTCCCGCCACAAGAACAGTTTCTTCCCCTCTGCTGTTGGACTCTTGAACACTTCTTAACCTGTCCCCCCGCCCTTTATAAAGTCACTTTACTGCCCATCATACGTCACTTTACTTCACTGTACTGCTGTCACCTTACATTGTGTGCACCATGTGCACTTGTATATTGTAAATAGTAACTGTAACTCTATTTTAAATTTAAATTTATTCTTTAGAAGTGTTTTTTATTCTTATTTTTATTATCTCTTTTTGACTGTTGCACTGAGCCAAAGCAATTTCCAAGTCTGTGACCTCCCGTTACTTACGTTGGCAATAAAAATGATTCTGATTCTGATTCTGATTCTGATTCTGGAGCTGCAGCTTTAGGGGCTAATTATCAGCTGTAGCGGCGTCACCTCGGCCCCATGTGCCGCCGCAGGCGACAGTCACAGGAGGCCCCGCCCACTTCAGCCTCCCCTCACGTTTTAACTGTGGAGGAAACACATGAAGTCTGTTTACTACAGCCTCAGTCCTGGGTCTACAGCCTCACTCCTGGGTCTACAGCCTCAGTCCTGGGTCTACAGCCTCACTCCTGGGTCTACAGCCTCAGTCCCGGGTCTACAGCCTCAGTCCCGGGTCTACAGCCTCAGTCCTGGGTCTACAGCCTCAGTCCTGGGTCTACAGCCTCAGTCCTGGGTCTACAGCCTCAGTCCCGGGTCTACAGCCTCAGTCCTGGGTCTACAGCCTCAGTTCTGGGTCTACAACCTCAGTCCTGGGTCTACAGCCTCAGTCCCGGGTCTACAGCCTCAGTCCTGGGTCTACAGCCTCAGTCCTGGGTCTACAGCCTCAGTCCTGGGTCTACAGCCTCAGTCCTTCACATTTTAAATACTTACACTAATGAGAATAATCTTTTTTTGAGTTAATCCTCAAGTAAAAACACTATAAAAAGTATTGATTGCAGTAAGATGAAGTTTAGTCCAGTTTGGGATCAAAAGGTTGTACTCAGAGGTTTCTTTTGTGGTTTTTATGTAAACTATAAAATGTTAGCAGACAGAGCAGATCCAGTACGTGTAGTAACATCTTTTTCTGTGTGCAGCTCTGATGGACCGACCGCCGCCTGTGATCCGCCAGGGCCCATCCAACCAGAGCCTGGCCCGGGACGGCACGGCCCTGCTGCGCTGCCAGGCCTCCGGAGAGCCCGTCCCCTCCGTCAGCTGGCTCAAGGACGGCGTCAGTCTGCTGGGAAAGGACCCCCGCATGTCCCTGCAGGAGCTGGGCAGTCTGCAGATCAGGAGCCTCAAGGTACCACTGATCCGAGCCCCAAGGTACCACTGATCCCAGCCCCAAGGTACCGCTGATCCGAGCCCCAAGGTACCACTGATCCGAGCCCCAAGGTACCACTGATCCCAGCCTCAAGGTACCACTGATCCGAGCCCCAAGGTACCACTGATCCGAGCCCCAAGGTACCACTGATCCCAGCCTCAAGGTACCACTGATCCGAGCCCCAAGGTACCACTGATCCCAGCCTCAAGGTACCACTGATCCGAGCCCCAAGGTACCACTGATCCCAGCCTCAAGGTACCACTGATCCCAGCCTCAAGGTACCACTGATCCGAGCCCCAAGGTACCACTGATCCCAGCCTCAAGGTACCACTGATCCCAGCCCCAAGGTACCACTGATCCGAGCCCCAAGGTACCACTGATCCCAGCCTCAAGGTACCACTGATCCGAGCCCCAAGGTACCACTGATCCCAGCCTCAAGGTACCACTGATCCGAGCCCCAAGGTACCACTGATCCCAGCCTCAAGGTACCACTGATCCGAGCCCCAAGGTACCACTGATCCGAGCCCCAAGGTACCACTGATCCGAGCCCCAAGGTACCACTGATCCCAGCCTCAAGGTACCACTGATCAGGAACTCAGTCAGACCCAGGCCTCAGTCAGACCCAGGCCTCAGTCAGACCCAGGCCTCAGTCAGACCCAGGACCCAGTCAGACCCAGGCCTCAGTCAGACCCAGGACCCAGTCAGACCCAGGACTCAGTCAGACCCAGGCCTCAGTCAGACCCAGGCCTCAGTCAGACCCAGGACCCAGTCAGACCCAGGCCTCAGTCAGACCCAGGACCCAGTCAGACCCAGGCCTCAGTCAGACCCAGGACCCAGTCAGACCCAGGACTCAGTCAGACCCAGGCCTCAGTCAGACCCAGGCCTCAGTCAGACCCAGGACTCAGTCAGACCCAGGCCTCAGTCAGACCCAGGCCTCAGTCAGACCCAGGCCTCAGTCAGACCCAGGCCTCAGTCAGACCCAGGCCTCAGTCAGACCCAGGCCTCAGTCAGACCCAGGCCTCAGTCAGACCCAGGCCTCAGTCAGATCCAGGCCTCAGTCAGATCCAGGCCTCAGTCAGACCCAGGCCTCAGTCAGACCCAGGCCTCAGTCAGACCCAGGCCTCAGTCAGACCCAGGCCTCAGTCAGACCCAGGACCCAGTCAGACCCAGGCCTCAGTCAGACCCAGGACCCAGTCAGACCCAGGACTCAGTCAGACCCAGGCCTCAGTCAGACCCAGGCCTCAGTCAGACCCAGGCCTCAGTCAGACCCAGGACCCAGTCAGTCAGCCCAGGCCTCAGTCAGACCCAGGACCCAGTCAGACCCAGGCCTCAGTCAGACCCAGGCCTCAGTCAGACCCAGGCCTCAGTCAGACCCAGGCCTCAGTCAGACCCAGGCCTCAGTCAGACCCAGGCCTCAGTCAGACCCAGGCCTCAGTCAGACCCAGGACCCAGTCAGACCCAGGCCTCAGTCAGACCCAGGACCCAGTCAGACCCAGGACTCAGTCAGACCCAGGCCTCAGTCAGACCCAGGCCTCAGTCAGACCCAGGACTCAGTCAGACCCAGGCCTCAGTCAGACCCAGGCCTCAGTCAGACCCAGGCCTCAGTCAGACCCAGGCCTCAGTCAGATCCAGGCCTCAGTCAGACCCAGGCCTCAGTCAGATCCAGGCCTCAGTCAGATCCAGGCCTCAGTCAGATCCAGGCCTCAGTCAGACCCAGGCCTCAGTCAGACCCAGGCCTCAGTCAGACCCAGGCCTCAGTCAGACCCAGGCCTCAGTCCGACCCAGGACCCAGTCAGACCCAGGCCTCAGTCAGACCCAGGACCCAGTCAGACCCAGGACTCAGTCAGACCCAGGCCTCAGTCAGACCCAGGCCTCAGTCAGACCCAGGCCTCAGTCAGACCCAGGCCTCAGTCAGACCCAGGCCTCAGTCAGACCCAGGCCTCAGTCAGACCCAGGCCTCAGTCAGACCCAGGCCTCAGTCAGACCCAGGCCTCAGTCAGACCCAGGCCTCAGTCAGACCCAGGCCTCAGTCAGACCCAGGACCCAGTCAGACCCAGGCCTCAGTCAGACCCAGGCCTCAGTCAGACCCAGGACCCAGTCAGACCCAGGCCTCAGTCAGACCCAGGACCCAGTCAGACCCAGGACTCAGTCAGACCCAGGCCTCAGTCAGACCCAGGCCTCAGTCAGACCCAGGCCTCAGTCAGACCCAGGCCTCAGTCAGACCCAGGCCTCAGTCAGACCCAGGCCTCAGTCAGATCCAGGCCTCAGTCAGACCCAGGCCTCAGTCAGACCCAGGCCTCAGTCAGACCCAGGCCTCAGTCAGACCCAGGCCTCAGTCAGACCCAGGACCCAGTCAGACCCAGGACTCAGTCAGACCCAGGCCTCAGTCAGACCCAGGCCTCAGTCAGACCCAGGCCTCAGTCAGACCCAGGCCTCAGTCAGACCCAGGCCTCAGTCAGACCCAGGCCTCAGTCAGACCCAGGCCTCAGTCAGACCCAGGCCTCAGTCAGATCCAGGCCTCAGTCAGATCCAGGCCTCAGTCAGACCCAGGCCTCAGTCAGACCCAGGCCTCAGTCAGACCCAGGCCTCAGTCAGACCCAGGCCTCAGTCAGATCCAGGCCTCAGTCAGACCCAGGCCTCAGTCAGATCCAGGCCTCAGTCAGATCCAGGCCTCAGTCAGATCCAGGCCTCAGTCAGATCCAGGCCTCAGTCAGACCCAGGCCTCAGTCAGACCCAGGCCTCAGTCAGACCCAGGCCTCAGTCAGACCCAGGCCTCAGTCAGATCCAGGCCTCAGTCAGACCCAGGCCTCAGTCAGACCCAGGCCTCAGTCAGACCCAGGCCTCAGTCAGACCCAGGCCTCAGTCAGATCCAGGCCTCAGTCAGATCCAGGCCTCAGTCAGACCCAGGACCCAGTCAGAGTCGGAGTTTGGGGATTAGCTCCATCCACGCCCACACACAGAATTTCTCGCACAAATCGACTAGTTTATCCCCACCGTGTACGGAATGATGACATTTGAAGCTTCTTTGAGTGTCGGAAAAGTGCTATTTCAAACCCATGCATTACTATTATTGTTATTATTATTGTTATTATCATAAGTTCCAGTGTTTGCTAGCTCCGCTCTGCTCTGCACTCGGCACTTGCTCCGGTTGGTGCTGTTTGGAGTTAAGCAGAGACAGCGGGTCTTGGGTTCGCACACACACTTCCTGGGGCCTGGGCGGAGCAGCTGGCCTCAGACACATGTGGACGTTTAGCAGTGATTAGATTGAGTGTGTCCTCGCCGTCCCAGAGGAGACGCCGTTACTCAGCACTGACCGCTGACATGATCCAATAACGTGATGAAAAGACAGAATCAAACCTGTCGCTCTGGATTTGGATAATGGCTTCTCCGCGCTCTCCATCCAAACGAACGCTCCTGTCCACGCCGAGCAGCTGCGTTGGGTCAGAGCTGAGTCGTGCTGCACAGGAGCGGGATGTTCATGGGAATTATACAGAACGAGGACATTTCCAAGAATAGAAACGTGGATATTCCAGAGCTGGGAATGGTTTCTAATGTCATTATCAGAGGGTAAATATTAACACAAGTTATGACATGATTCAATGTATCTGTAAAGTAGAAGTAGAAGTTCACCATGATATCATAAGATAAACTTTAATGGTCACCTGTAGGGGGCGCTGTCTCAGAAGCAGTGTGCTCTGAAGAACATCTGTTTAAGTCTAAATTATGAAATGTACTTCCCTCAACTATGTTTAAGTTCTCGATGAAGATCCAACTTTCAATTATAAAAAAAACTCATTGACTGCCATTGACGTATTTGTCTGAGACCCTCTATTCGACTGGGGATTACAGGACAATAAAAATAGATAAAAACAAACTTATTTTTGCTGATGAAAGTAGACAGTCCAGTCTTTCAGAATCTGGTTTGACATTTCACATAGTCTTAGGAGATAATATTCTGTGGGCCTTGAGAATCAGTGAAATAAACAAAAACGGCAGCAGTCAATGAGTTAATTCCTGTTGATTCCCATTGAACTTTACAACTATAACACTGACTTAACTCTGATGCATTATTCTGAGCCTCATACAGCAGAGAGAAAAGTGCTTTAAAGATTGTAACTTAGATGTCTGTTTTTTCAAGTGAACTTCCTGTTAGAAAGAATAGCAATGTAAGTAAAGATTATTTATATAGCGCCTTTCACAGACCAGGATCAACAAAGTGCTTTACATTTAAAAACACAGTCAGTTCCAACGCACTAATGAACTTTTTAAAGTGAATGTAACTTTTATTTAATCAGGAAAGTCCCTTTGAGATTAAGAACCTGTGTTTCAACAGCGTGAGGCAGAAACAGATGTCAATGAGGACGTCTCTCATTCTGGATTTAAAACCTTTACATGAAATACATTCAGTTAATTTACAGTCTTTTTGCAACTTTGTGCATGTAAAAGGAGTTTACCAAAGCCTTTCATCCAGAGCAACAAAGTAAAATGAAGTCTGTTATAAACATGTATACTGACTACTATAGATTTGTAAATAAGTACGACCCTGACCATGGTCCCGCGGCCTCCTCAGCCTCAAACACATAAGTGCATTAGCTGCTGACGGGACGGCCCATCACTGACACTGGGGACTCCTCAGTGGACGAGATGATTGGATTAATGTCAGCACAGTGAGACCCCCCCTCGCTCACCCCCTCGCTCACCCATCCAGAGGCCTGCAGAGAGAGGTGCTGAGTGGCAGGGCATCAGGGGGAGATGCACTTCATTCATTAAAGTGCTGCGGGATAGGGGGGTAATGATGTTTAACTTAATGTAATTATTCAGTCTTAAAGGAGCTGCGGCTGGACCTGTCAATCATCACAGAGAAGATGGAGACATTTCAGAGTTTAATGTTTATACTCGTGTTTATGCTAGGTCTGAACGGAGCTCCAGCAAATCCACGTTTTTCTATAGCACAGAGATATATGTGTTATACAGTGTGTTTTTAATTGGCAACGCAAAGTACCAATTAAAATTCGTTTTCAACCCCTTTATTAGTCCATTTCTGGGTCGGGGGGGGGGGGGGGGGGGCAATGAGAGCTGCTCCCAATGCTCATAGCAATACAATAATACACAAAATACAATACAAAAGGCAAAAGAATTGTTCCAATCTAGACTTGAAAAGAGCCAGGGTCTCACAACTTCAGGAAGACTGTTCCAGACTTTAGGTGCATAGGTCTGGAATATGCTGCCTTCTCTTGTCTAGTCCCTACTCTGGGACCAGCAGGAGACCAGTCCCTGTGCTCCTCAGAGTCCCAGCAGGAGGCCAGTCCCTGTGCTCCTCAGAGTCCCAGCAGGAGGCCAGTCCCTGTGCTCCTCAGAGTCCCAGCAGGAGGCCAGTCCCTGTGCTCCTCAGAGTCCCAGCAGGAGGCCAGTCCCTGTGCTCCTCAGAGTCCGAGTTAGTTCATATGACACTTACACTTGTGTGTGTGTGTTGCAGTTGTCTGACTCTGGCATCTACACGTGTGTGGCGACCAGCTCCAGTGGAGAGACGTCTTGGAGCGCCTACCTGGAGATCAAAGGTACATGCCAAAGATCAAAGGTATATTTCATAGATCAAAGGTACATGTCAAAGATAAAAGGTACATGCCATAGATCAAATGTAGGTGTTATAGATCAGAGGTGCATGTCATAGATCAAAGGTACACATCAAAGATCAAAGGTACACATCATAGATCAAAGGTACACTTAATCGATTTGAGTCAAAATCATATAAAACCATGAAAAGGTACATTTTACGTATGATATCAACTATGACAATATTATTGAATGATCAAAGTGAGACTTTAGAGATTGTTGAAATGAAATGGGAGAGTTTTGGTGAGAATAAAAACCTGAAGAGGGTCTAACTGTGGATTAAGTTCAGGTTTGAGGTTTATTATCGTTAAGAATGTGTATTTACAGTTTGAACGATGAGATTGACACTGACATCATTTCACATTATTCCAGATGATTTAATCTGTGTGTATTCTCTGCGTCTCAGAGTCTGTGGGGTCAGTGGTGGTGAAGGTCCCAGAGGAGCCCCCAGGGGCCCCCTCCAAACCCCAGGTCACAGACGTCACCAAGAACAGCGTGTCTCTGTCCTGGACGACGGCGGCTCCGGTCTCCTCCTACGTCATCGAAGCGTTTAGGTACGAGCGCCACAACTGTAGATTATGGTCCAGGACTGTCTGCGGCACGGTGGCTGAGTGGATAGCACTCTCGCCTCTCAGCAAGAAGGTCCTGGGTTCGAATCCCGGTCGGACCAGGGCCTTTCTGAGTGGAGTTTGCATGTTCTCCCCGTGTCTGCGTAGGTTTCCTCCGGGTACTCCGGTTTCCCCTACCACAAAAAATATGTCCAATAGTTCTGGCATGTGCCTCCTGTACTGGCCCCGCTCCCATCTCTGTGTGGAGTGAGAGACTAATGCCCAAAATTAACAATTGTAAACCGCTTTGAGACTCAGATCTGCAGTGAAAAGGCGGTATATAAATAAAGATTACTACTTACTGTCTGGGATTACACGCCCGAACTACAGAAGGCTGTTTTTACACAGTCTCACACTCGAGTCCAGTCTGATCCAGACCCAGTGTACATCCTCCCATCCTGTGAACTTGGATCCTCCCTCCTACATGCTTTTGCTTCAGAGTTCAATTCAATGTATTTTTTTGGACTGAAAAGAGAGAGACTAGAGAGAGAGACCAGACAGAGAGACCAGAGAGAGACACCAGAGAGAGAGAGAGAGAGAGACCAGACAGACAGACCAGAGAGAGACCAGAGAGAGACACCAGAGAGAGAGAGAGAGAGACCAGAAAGAGACCAGAGAGAGACCAGAAAGAGACTAGAGAGAGACCAGAGAGAGACACGAGATAGAGACCAGAGAGAAATCAAAGGGAGAACAGAACGAGATCAGTGAGAAACCAAAGAGAGAGACAAGAGAGAAACTAGAGAGAGACAAGAAAGAGAAGAAAGACTGACCAGAGAGACATGTTAGACAATTATCAGATTGTTTATTGTTTGAGGTTCTTGGTCCCACAGACCTGTGCGTCCAGCACAGAGCATGACACTGGTGATAATCCGTGTGTTTTGCTTCTTGCAGTCAGTCGGTGAGTAACAGCTGGCAGACGGTGGCGGAGCACGTGAAGAGCGCTCAGCACACGGTCAAAGGGCTGCGTCCAAACACCATCTACCTGTTCATGGTGCGGGCGGTCGGCAGCCAGGGCGTGAGCGACCCCAGCCCCATGTCCGAGCCCGTCAGGACGCAAGGTCAGTGAGACTCACCCTACCTACTCTACACCAAGGGTTTACAGAAGCTAGCCATACCAGAGAGACCAGAGAGAGACCAGAGAGAGACCAGAGAGACCAGAGATCAGAGAGAGACCAGAGAGAGACCAGAGAGAGGCCAGAGAGAGACCAGAGATCAGAGAGAGACCAGAGAGAGACCAGAGAGAGACCAGAGAGAGACCAGAGAGAGGCCAGAGAGAGGCCAGAGAGAGAGACCATAGAGAGTCCAGAGAGAGGCCAGAGAGAGACCAGAGAGAGGCCAGAGAGAAACCAGAGAGAGGCCAGAGAGAGGCCAGAGAGAGGCCAGAGAGAGACCAGAGAGAGACCAGAGAGAGACCAGAGAGAGACCAGAGAGAGACCAGAGAAAGACCAGAGATCAGAGAGAGACCAGAGAGAGGCCAGAGAGAGAGAGACCAGAGAGAGACCAGAGATCAGAGAGAGACCAGAGAGAGACCAGAGAGAGACCAGAGAGAGACCAGAGAGAGACCAGAGAGAGAGACCAGAGTGTCCAGAGAGCATGACCAGAGAGAGACCAGAGAGACCAGAGATCAGAGAGAAAGAGACCAGAGAGGGTGACCAGAGAGAGACCAGAGAGATCAGAGAGGAAGAGACCACTGGGAGAGAGACCAGAAAGAGACCAGAGGGACCAGAGAGAAAGAGACCGGTGACCAGAGAGAGACCAGAGAGAGAACAGAGAGACCAGAGAGAGACCAGAGAGACCAGAGAGACCAGAGAGGCAGAGAGACCAGAGAGAGAACAGAGAGAGACCAGAGAGAGACCAGAGAGAGACCAGAGAGAGGCCAGAGAGAGGCCAGAGAGAGGCCAGAGAGAGGCCAGAGAGAGGCCAGAGAGAGGCCTTAGAGAGACCAGAGAGAGACCGGAGAGAGACCGGAGAGAGACCGGAGAGAGGCCAGAGAGAGGCCAGAGAGAGGCCAGAGAGAGGCCATTCTCAGTCCTGTCTTGTGTGTTGCAGACATCAGTCCTCCTTCTCCGGGTGTGGACCACCGACACGTGCAGAAGGAGCTGGGGGAGGTCCTGGTCAAGCTCCACAACCCCCTGGTCCTCAGCCCCACCTCCATCCAGGCGGCGTGGACGGTGAGCGTGCATGCTAATGAACAGAAGTCATTATTGACAGTTTATGAGCCGTCGCCTCCAGGATCAACTGAGACGTTTTATGAAGCAGGTGTTTCATTTGTGACCAATCGTTAATTTAGGAAGCGCTCCAACCACGCAGAGTGCAGCACGTGTGATAAATGTGTGTTTTATGGTTTCATACTTCCACATAGTGCTTTAGCAAAGAGTAAAACTGCCTCGATCTCAGCAGCTGGACATTACAGCAGGTCTGGCTCCGAGGCTGAGGCAAAGTATTCTGTGTTCTTCTGCAGAGCTTTATATTCAGTCATGAGTTTAGAGTTTCATTCATTAAGGGCAATGTGCAGTTACATTAAACAGATTTAGCACCAGCTTCTTTCCATCTGCAGTCCTTGACAATACAATCATATACATACATATTCAAATACAGTTTCCAACATAGTCATAGTCACAGGTCACAAAGTACAAGAATATCATTAAAGGTGTATTGGACATTTTAGGAAAGACCCGCCCCCTCCCACTTGACGAGCACGTTTCACCAGAATGATTGACAGTTGGGAGGACCTTGATGATCCACCCGGAAGTAGAAAATCCTCCTAAACCTTTAACATTTAGCAGAAAATAGAGAATGTGCACATGACTGGTATAAGGTGCAAAGTTACAGCACAGTTTTAGCAGCGATATACAAAGTGCAAACAGAACAGAGGCTCAGATGTTTCCATTTAACGGTAAAATACATTTAATATATCACAAAGTTGGTTGGTTATTATATCTGACTGGATTGGAAGAGAATCCCCTCACAGACCGCTCTGTGTTGAACGTGTTTGGTCAGTGACAGAGCTTCATTAATTAGTTTATTTGACAGCGTTTGTTCAAGAACATTACGTTAAATAACACCAGGCTCTTTTTCATCCGTTGTCCCTCGACAGATTTAAAATGTCAACCTAAAAGTAGACACAAGAAAAGTGAAAAATATCAATTCTAAAATAACTCTGCATTCACCATATACTGTATATGAGACACACACACACACAGACAGAGACACACACACACACACACACACACAGACAGAGACACACACACACACACACACACACAGACAGAGACACACACACATAGACAGAGACACACACACACACAGACAGAGACACACACACACACAGACACACAGACAGAGACACACACACACACACACACACACAGACAGAGACACACACACACAGACAGAGACACATACACACACACAGAGACACACACAGACAGAGACACACACACACACACACACAGACAGAGACACACACACACACAGAGACACACACACTCACACACACACAGAGACACACACAGAGACTCACACACACACACACACACACAGAGACACACACACTCACACACACACACACACAGAGACACACACACACACAGACAGACAGAGACACACACACTCACACAGAGACACACACACAGAGACACACACACGGACAGAGACACACACACACAGACAGAGACACACACACACAGACAGAGACACACACACTGACACACACACACACACACAGAGACACACACAGACAGAGACACAGACACACACACAGAGACGCACACACACAGACACACACACTCACACACACACACAGACAGAGACTCACACAGAGACACACACACACGGACAGAGACACAGACACACACACACATGCACGCAGCCCCTCCCCTCATTGTTTACTAAAGAGCCTCATTACAGTTAGCGCTGATTGGTCGTTACGTTCATAAACCTGCATTAGTCGTGTCGGGGTCGATAACGATGTCAGAGAGAGACATCAGCGGCGTCAGCAGGAGACGTGACATCAGGGACCATCAGAGAGACGTGACATCAGGGACCATCAGAGAGACATGACATCAGAAACATCAGGGACCATCAGAGAGACGTGACATCAGAACCATCAGGGACCATCAGAGAGAAGTGACATCAGAAACATCAGGGACCATCAGAGAGAAGTGACATCAGAAACATCAGGGACCATCAGAGAGACATGACATCAGAAACATCAGGGACCATCAGAGAGACGTGACATCAGAACCATCAGGGACCATCAGAGAGAAGTGACATCAGAAACATCAGGGACCATCAGAGAGAAGTGACATCAGAAACATCAGGGACCATCAGAGAGACATGACATCAGAAACATCAGGGACCATCAGAGAGACGTGACATCAGAACCATCAGGGACCATCAGAGAGAAGTGACATCAGAAACATCAGGGACCATCAGAGAGAAGTGACATCAGAAACATCAGGGACCATCAGAGAGACATGACATCAGAAACATCAGGGACCATCAGAGAGACGTGACATCAGAACCATCAGGGACCATCAGAGAGAAGTGACATCAGAAACATCAGGGACCATCAGAGAGAAGTGACATCAGAAACATCAGGGACCATCAGAGAGACGTGACATCAGAACCATCAGGGACCATCAGAGAGACGTGACATCAGAACCATCAGGGACCATCAGAGAGAAGTGACATCAGAAACATCAGGGACCATCAGAGAGACGTGACATCAGGAACCATCAAGGACCATCAGAGAGACGTGACATCAGAAACATCAGGGACCATCAGAGAGACGTGACATCAGAAACATCAGGGACCATCAGAGAGACGTGACATCAGAACCATCAGGGACCATCAGAGAGATGTGACATCAGAAACATCAGGGACCATCAGAGAGACGTGACATCAGGAACCATCAAGGACCATCAGAGAGATGTGACATCAGAAACATCAGGGACCATCAGAGAGACGTGACATCAGAAACATCAGGGACCATCAGAGAGACGTGACATCAGAACCATCAGGGACCATCAGAGACGTGACATCAGAAACATCAGGGACCATCAGAGAGATGTGACATCAGAAACATCAGGGACCATCAGAGAGACGTGACATCAGGAACCATCAAGGACCATCAGAGAGACGTGACATCAGAAACATCAGGGACCATCAGAGAGACGTGACATCAGAAACATCAGGGACCATCAGAGAGACGTGACATCAGAACCATCAGGGACCATCAGAGAGATGTGACATCAGAAACATCAGGGACCATCAGAGAGACGTGACATCAGGAACCATCAAGGACCATCAGAGAGATGTGACATCAGAAACATCAGGGACCATCAGAGAGACGTGACATCAGAAACATCAGGGACCATCAGAGAGACGTGACATCAGGAACCATCAAGGACCATCAGAGAGACGTGACATCAGAAACATCAGGGACCATCAGAGAGACGTGATATCAGAAACATCAGGGACCATCAGAGAGACGTGACATCAGAACCATCGGGACCATCAGAGAGATGTGACATCAGAAACATCAGGGACCATCAGAGAGACGTGACATCAGGAACCATCAAGGACCATCAGAGAGATGTGACATCAGAAACATCAGGGACCATCAGAGAGACGTGACATCAGAAACATCAGGGACCATCAGAGAGACGTGACATCAGAACCATCAGGGACCATCAGAGACGTGACATCAGAAACATCAGGGACCATCAGAGAGATGTGACATCAGAAACATCAGGGACCATCAGAGAGACGTGACATCAGGAACCATCAAGGACCATCAGAGAGACGTGACATCAGAAACATCAGGGACCATCAGAGAGACGTGACATCAGGAACCATCAAGGACCATCAGAGAGACGTGACATCAGAAACATCAGGGACCATCAGAGAGACGTGACATCAGGAACATCAGGGACCATCAGAGAGACGTGACATCAGGAACCATCAGGGACCATCAGAGAGACGTGACATCAGAACCATCAGGGACCATCAGAGAGATGTGACATCAGAAACATCAGGGACCATCAGAGAGACGTGACATCAGAAACATCAAGGACCATCAGAGAGATGTGACATCAGAACCATCAGGAACCATCAGAGAGATGTGACATCAGGAACCATCAGAGAGATGTGACATCAGGAACCATCAGAGACCATCAGAGAGACGTGAAATCAGGAACCATCAGAGACCATCAGAGAGACGTGACATCAGAAACATCAGGGACCATCAGAGAGACGTGACATCAGAAACATCAGGGACCATCAGAGAGACGTGACATCAGAACCATCAGAGACCATCAGAGAGATGTGACATCAGAAACATCAGGGACCATCAGAGAGACGTGACATCAGGAACCAATCAGGACCATCAGAGAGATGTGACATCAGAAACATCAGGGACCATCAGAGAGACGTGACATCAGAAACATCAGGGACCATCAGAGAGACGTGACATCAGGAACCATCAAGGACCATCAGAGAGACGTGACATCAGAAACATCAGGGACCATCAGAGAGACGTGACATCAGAAACATCAGGGACCATCAGAGAGACGTGACATCAGAACCATCAGGGACCATCAGAGAGATGTGACATCAGAAACATCAGGGACCATCAGAGAGACGTGACATCAGGAACCATCAAGGACCATCAGAGAGATGTGACATCAGAAACATCAGGGACCATCAGAGAGACGTGACATCAGAAACATCAGGGACCATCAGAGAGACGTGACATCAGAACCATCAGGGACCATCAGAGACGTGACATCAGAAACATCAGGGACCATCAGAGAGATGTGACATCAGAAACATCAGGGACCATCAGAGAGACGTGACATCAGGAACCATCAAGGACCATCAGAGAGACGTGACATCAGAAACATCAGGGACCATCAGAGAGATGTGACATCAGGAACCATCAAGGACCATCAGAGAGACGTGACATCAGAAACATCAGGGACCATCAGAGAGACGTGACATCAGGAACATCAGGGACCATCAGAGAGACGTGACATCAGGAACCATCAGGGACCATCAGAGAGACGTGACATCAGAACCATCAGGGACCATCAGAGAGATGTGACATCAGAAACATCAGGGACCATCAGAGAGACGTGACATCAGAAACATCAGGGACCATCAGAGAGATGTGACATCAGGAACCATCAGAGACCATCAGAGAGACGTGACATCAAAAACATCAGGGACCAGAGAGATGTGACATCAGGAACCATCAGAGACCATCAGAGAGATGTGACATCAGAAACATCAGGGACCATCAGAGAGACGTGACATCAGAAACATCAGGGACCATCAGAGAGATGTGACATCAGAACCATCAGGGACCATCAGAGAGACATGACATCAGAAACATCAGGGACCATCAGAGAGATGTGACATCAGAACCATCAGGAACCATCAGAGAGATGTGACATCAGGAACCATCAGAGACCATCAGAGAGATGTGACATCAGAAACATCAGGGACCATCAGAGAGATGTGACATCAGGAACCATCAGAGACCATCAGAGAGATGTGACATCACAAACATCAGAGACCATCAGAGAGATGTGACATCAGAAACATCAGGGACCATCAGAGAGATGTGACATCAGAAACATCAGGGACCATCAGAGAGACGTGACATCAGGGACCATCAGAGAGACGTGACATCAGGAACATCAGGGACCATCAGAGAGACGTGACATCAGAAACATCAGGGACCATCAGAGAGACGTGACATCAGAAACATTAGGGACCATCAGAGAGACCTGACATCAGAAACATCAGGGACCATAAGAGAGACGTGACATCAGAAACATCAGGGACCATCAGAGAGACGTGACATCAGAAACATCAGGGACCATCAGAGAGACGTGACATCAGAAACATCAGGGACCATCAGAGAGACGTGACATCAGGAACATCAGGGACCATCAGAGAGACGTGACATCAGAAACATCAGGAACCAACAGAAAGACGTGACATCAGGAACATCAGGGACCATCAGAGAGACGTGACATCAGAAACATCAGGGACCATCAGAGAGACGTGACATCAGAAACATCAGGGACCATTAGAGAGACGTGACATCAGAAACATCAGGGACCATCAGAGAGACGTGACATCAGAAACATCAGGGACCATCAGAGAGACGTGACATCAGGAACATCAGGGACCATCAGAGAGACGTGACATCAGAAACATCAGGGACCATCAGAGAGATGGAACACACACACACGCCCATAGTCTCTGCCTACTCCTGCCCATGGTCTCTGCCTACTCCTGCCCATGGTCTCTGCCTACTCCTGCCCATGGTCTCTGCCTTCTCCCTGCCCATGGTCTCTGCCTTTTCCCTGCCCATGGTCTCTGCCTGCTCCTGCCCATAGTCTCTGCCTACTCCTGCCCATGGTCTCTGCCTTCTCCCTGCCCATGGTCTCTGCCCATGGTCTCTGCCCATGGTCTCTGCCTTCTCCCTGCCCATGGTCTCTGCCTGCTCCTGCCCATAGTCTCTGCCTACTCCTGCCCATAGTCTCTGCCTACTCCTGCCCATGGTCTCTGCCTTCTCCCTGCCCATGGTCTCTGCCCATGGTCTCTGCCTTCTCCCGGCCCATGGTCTTTGCCTGCTCCTGCCCATGGTCTCTGCCTTCTCCCGGCCCATGGTCTCTGCCTGCTCTTGCCCATGGTCTCTGCCCATGGTCTGGGCTCAGATAAGCTGTTGTTAAAGTCTCTTCTCACATTAGTGCAGATCTCTGGAGGTTGGTTTTATCACCATGAGCTCATAGAGAAGCCTGAGCCAAGTCACATTCAGCAAAAAGCACTGCAGTAATGGCTTCTTTAAGGGCACAGCCGGGCCCCTCATGGCCCTCATGGCCCCTCATGGCCCTCATGGCTCCTCATGGCCCTCATGCTCCTCATGCATTACCAAGATTACTACATGACATTTAAAAGTACAGGTGGGAACACTGAGGAGACTGCTGTACTGTTTCTGGGATAGTTCACTGAAGCTCTGTGCTCGACCCGCTTCACTGTTTCCATGTTTAGCTGCAGCCTTTTTCTCAAAATCAAATTCAATGTTTTTCTTGTCAGTTGACCTAATAACCTATTCTGACAAAGTGAAAACATGTTTTTAAAAAGGCTTTGACAATTTATTCAAGATAAAACGGCAATATCACATGTTTCCACTGAATGTTGTTGTTTCTGGAGCCAGCTGTGGTCAGCTCTGGCACTAATTTGGGCGGCACGGTGGCTGAGTGGATAGCACTCTCGCCTCTCAGCAAGAAGATCCTGGGTTCGAAAAAGGCCGGACCAGGGCCTTTTTGAGTGGAGTTTGCATGTTCTCCCCGTGTCTGCGTAGGTTTCCTCCGGGTGCTCCGGTTTCCCCTACCACTAAAAATATGTCCAATAGGTCTGGCATGTGCCTCCTGTACTGGCCGCTCCCATCTCTGTGTGGAGTGAGAGACAAGTGCCCAAAATTAACAATTGTAAACCGCTTTGAGACTCAGATCTGCAGTGAAAAGGCGGTATATAAATAAAGCTTAATTACTTACTTACTTACTAATGTCTGCTGATGACGCTGTATCGAAGGACAGTTGGTGGAGACCTCACAGAATCATGCTTTATGTCCTCATGTGTGTCTTTGCAGGTGGACCGACAGTCCCAGTTCATCCAGGGCTATCGGGTTGTGTATCGGCAGACGTCTGGGCTCCCGGCTCCTGGGTCCTGGCAGACTCTGGACGTGAATGTACCGTCCGAGCGCAGCGTGGTCCTCACTGGACTCAGGAAAGGCATCACCTACGAGATCAAAGTCCGCCCGTACTTCAATGAGTTTCAAGGGATGGACTGTGAACCCAGGACGGCCCGGACCACTGAGGAGGGTAAGGAGCAGCCAACAATACTGCAACTGCCAAAAGTATTTATTTATGCTTACAGTAGTGCACAGCATACAGTATGGACCCTGAACTGGGAGGTAAAGTCAGTCATGTTCCATGGAACAGATGTGCAATAGTTTAAACTTAGATGTATGTGGTGTGCTTTGTTGAAAAGGTGCTGTAGTTTCCTTAGTGCTTTAATCTAATGGCTTCTGGAATATCAAATATGTTTTGTGCTCCATATGGTTCCTTTTAAAACAATATTAACCTACTTTTATCGAAGTCCAACATACATGTATATAATCTTGTACAATGATACGTTTTGGACAACATCTGCTTTCTAGAATACATGCAAAACATTACCATTCAAGCCATAACTGACCTTCAATAGAAGTACGAGACTAAATCAGCCAGGCATAAGACAATGAATCCTTTTATCAATGAGCCTTGAGCTGGACCGTGTTGTGAGCGGTAGCCCTGGGCTGTCTGCTAGTCGACCAGGCTGGGCACAGACCCAGAGGCTGGGACCGGGAGTGGTGTGGGTGAAGTGGATGTCTGAACCGTGTCCAGTCTTGAGCTGCAGATCTGCTGTGGTGTGAGGAGGAGGTGTGGGGAGATGTGAGAAAACACCAGTCCAGACACTCAGGCTGTGTGTCTGCTGCAAACACTGAAGGTGTTCTGACCATTCAGCCTGCAATAGGATTGGACACATCATGACCAGACAAGTCTCACTGCATGTATACTGAGACAGAGGTCTGTATGTATACTGAGACAGAGGTCTGTATGTATACTGAGACAGAGGTCTGTATGTATACTGAGACAGAGGTCTGAGTCTGTATGTATACTGAGACAGGTCTGTATGTATACTGAGACAGAAGTCTGTATGTATACTGAGACAGGTCTGTATGTATACTGAGACAGGTCTGTATGTATACTGAGACAGAGGTATGTATGTATACTGAAACAGAGGTGTGTATGTATACTGAGACAGGTCTGTATGTATACTGAGACAGAGGTCTGTATGTATACTGAGACAGGTCTGTATGTATACTGAGACAGGTCTGTATGTATACTGAGACAGAGGTCTGTATGTATACTGAGACAGGTCTGTATGTATCAGAATCAGAATCAGAATCATTTTTATTGCCACGTAAGTAACAGGAGGTCACAGACTTGGAAATTGCTTTGGCTCAGTGCAACAGTCAAAAAGAGATAATAAAAATAAGAATAAAAAACACTTCTAAAGAATAAATTAAAATTTAAAATAGAGTTACAGTTACTATTTACAATATACAAGTGCACATGGTGCACACAATGTAAGGTGACAGCAGTACAGTGAAGTAAAGTGACGTATGATGGGCAGTAAAGTGACTTTATAAAGGGCGGGGGGACAGGTTAAGAAGTGTTCAAGAGTCCAACAGCAGAGGGGAAGAAACTGTTCTTGTGGCGGGAGGTTCTAGTCCTGATGAACCGCAGCCTCCTGCCTGAGGGGAGTGGTTGGAATAGTCCATGAGCAGGTGAGAGGGGAGTGGTTGGAATAGTCCATGTGCAGGTGAGAGGGGAGTGGTTGGAATAGTCCATGTGCAGGTGAGAGGGGAGTGGTTGGAATAGTCCATGTGCAGGTGAGAGGGGAGTGGTTGGAATAGTCCATGTGCAGGTGAGAGGGGAGTGGTTGGAATAGTCCATGTGCAGGTGAGAGGGGAGTGGTTGGAATAGTCCATGTGCAGGTGAGAGGGGAGTGGTTGGAATAGTCCATGTGCAGGTGAGAGGGGTCGGCTGTGATACGACCAGCCCGGCCTCGAGCTCGGGCGACGTACAGGTCCTGCAGCGATGGAAGGCTGCGGCCGATCACTTCCTCTGCAGAGCGCACAATGCACTGTAGTCTCTGTTTGTCCCTGACTGTGGCTCCAGCGAACCACACGGTGATGGAGGAGGTGATGGAGGAGGTGATGGAGGAGGTGATGAGGAGGTGATGGAGGAGGTGATGGCCGTGTAGAACTGCACCAACATCTGTGCAGGCAGCTTGGCTTTCCTGAGCTATACTGAGACAGGTCTGTATGTATACTGAGACAGGTCTGTATGTATACTGACACAGGTCTGTATGTATACTGAGACAGGTCTGTATGTATACTGAGACAGGTCTGTATGTATACTGAGACAGGTCTGTATGTATACTGAGACAGGTCTGTATGTATACTGAGACAGGTCTGTATGTATACTGAGACAGGTCTGTATGTATACTGAGACAGGTCTGTATGTATACTGAGACAGGTCTGTATGTATACTGAGACAGGTCTGTATGTATACTGAGAGAGGTCTGTATGTATACTGAGACAGGTCTGTATGTATACTGAGACAGGTCTGTATGTATACTGAGACAGGTCTGTATGTATACTGAGACAGGTCTGTATGTATACTGAGACAGGTCTGTATGTATACTGAGACAGGTCTGTATGTATACTGAGACAGGTCTGTATGTATACTGAGACAGGTCTGTATGTATACTGAGAGAGGTCTGTATGTATACTGAGACAGGTCTGAGTCTACACTTGAGTCGACATCCATCCTCCAGTCCCCGCTCTGCACAGAGACCAGAATCCTACACACAGCCACAGGACCCTCGGGGAGCAGGGGAGATCAGGTCCGGACACGGACTGATAGAGCAGACTGCAGTGATTAAAACGTCCCCTTTAGATTACAGCTCAGGTCCCAGAGCAGAGAGCGCTGCAGGACTGCTCCGCCCTCAGACTCTGTCCCATTACCCTGGTCCTGTGTCCGCTCTCTGGGGCTGCACCACTTTATTATCAATCAATCAATGTGTTGTTTTCTCATCACTATTAATGGCACGGTTTCATTTGTTACATTTATCAAAAGATACATTTATCTAAGAAACGCAGCCAAATATCATCCGTGTGTCTGTAATTGTCCAAAAATAGAGAAATATTTGTTTAATCATGTAGCGTACAGTTTTAAATTACATGTATTTTTGTATCGCCCTAAATCACAACCGCTGTCGTCTCTGAGGACTTTACAAAGAGTGGATTCACCAAAAACAGATCAGAAAATCAACAGATCAAACATATAGAGACATTGGTCCATAGGGAGAAGACCCAGGACTGAGGCTGTAGACCCAGGACTGAGGCTGTAGACCACAGGACTGAGGCTGTAGACCCAGGACTGAGGCTGTAGACCCAGGACTGAGGCTGTAGACCCAGGACTAAGGCTGTAGACCCAGGACTGAGACTGTAGACCCAGGACTGAGACTGTAGACCCAGGACTGAGACTGTAGACCACAGGACTGAGGCTGTAGACCCAGGACTGAGGCTGTAGACCCAGGACTGAGGCTGTAGACCCAGGACTGAGACTGTAGACCCAGGACTGAGACTGTAGACCACAGGATGATACCGAGGCTGTAGCTGTAGACCCAGGACTAAGGACTGTAGACCCAGGACTGAGACTGGCTGTAGCCCAGGACTACTCAGTGAGACTGAGACCCAGGACTGAGACTGTAGACCACAGGACTGAGGCTGTAGACCCAGGACTGAGGCTGTAGACCCAGGACTGAGGCTGTAGACCCAGGACTGAGGCTGTAGACCCAGGACTGAGGCTGTAGACCCAGGACTGAGACTGTAGACCCAGGACTGAGGCTGTAGACCCAGGACTGAGGCTGTAGACCCAGGACTGAGGCTGTAGACCCAGGACTGAGGCTGTAGACCCAGGACTGAGGCTGTAGACCCAGGACTGAGGCTGTAGACCCAGGACTGAGGCTGTAGACCCAGGACTGAGGCTGTAGACCCAGGACTGAGGCTGTAGACCCAGGACTGAGGCTGTAGATAGCTGTTGTCTCCACTTGGCCACTGTTTTGGTTTCACTTTTCAAACATCATGGGCCTTGCCTGTGGAGTTCTTAAGCACTAAAGAAGTGTTCTATGATTGGACGATACCCTCGAGCTCAGCAAATGCAGAACATGGACGATCAAACCAGAGTCAAACGCTTCAGGCCACGACTTCACAAAGATCCACCACACGCCGGAAATTAAATACAAAATGTCTCGTTTCAAAAGCTGTTATTTTGTCCTGATGGAGTAAAGAGACATCACCTCCACTTTACCACAGCCTCCGCCGTCCTCCGCCGCCGCAGCGACCCTCGTGGCCCCAAAATAAATAACGTCCCAAAACAATGCTTTACGCCGCCGCCGTCTCATCTGCGGCGTGTCGGCGGCGAGCCAGGACAACGGCCGCATCCTGACAGCTCAATTACTCGCCTCTGCTCGCGCTCGCTCCAAAATGGCAGCTGTCAGCGAGCAAATCCACGCTCATCCTTCAGCGGCGAAAAGACGGATGGCCCCCCGGGTGAACCCCCCCAAGACACACACACAGAGACACACACTCAGAGACGACACATACATACACACACAGAGACACACACACACACACACACACACACAGAGACACACACACTCAGAGACAACACATACATACACACACAGAGACACACACACTCAGAGACAACACATACATACACACACAGAGACACACACACACAGAGACACACACACACAGAGACACACACACTCAGAGACACCTACACACACACAGACACACACACACACACACAGAGACAACACATACACACACACACACACACACAGAGACACCCACACACAGATTACACCCGGACGTCCAGGTGAGTGTGCGTCCGCAGAGCGATGGCAAAGTCATTCAAAGTTAATGTTATGAATGATTAGCATGACTGATTAGCATGACTGATTAGCATGCACGTTTTACCGCCAAGCACTGCAAAAAGGAAATATCAATCTAGCTGCTACATTATGAAAGTGTGTTTTATTCATTCATTCTCTACTCCTTCATTAGACCATTTCTGTGTCGGGGGGTGACAGTCAGAGCTGCGCCCAGTGCTCACAGCCCCTGTCCCTCTGATCCTAATACATGACATAGCCTTGATTATTCAGCGGGGGCATCAGGCAAAGTGGGGTTAAGTGTGTT